CCAGCCCAGGATACGGTTGGCTTTCTGGGCTGCAAGCGCACATTGTTGGCTCATGTCCAGCTTTTCAGCCACCAGTGCCCCCAAGTCCTTCTCCGCAGGGCTGCTCTCAATCCCTTCATCCCCCAGCCTGTACTGATACCGGGGGCTGCCCCGCCCCAGGTGCAGGACCTTGCACTTGGCCTTGTTGAACCTCATGAGGGTCACACAGGCCCACCTCTCCAGCTTGCCCAGGTCCCTTTGGATAAGGTCCCTTTCCTTTATACAGGAAAGCCTTAGTTCCACCACCAGCATTGTCAGCTAGACTTAAGGCAGAACAGCTCATTCCTTAGTACTTCTATTCAACATCTGTAAAATAGCAATAGTCATACTGTATTTCTTCCCATTGTTGTCTTTTGCCCTGGTTTCGTAGATATCTTGATGCATTCAGAGCCTCTATTTCACCTGAAAAGGCAGGCAGTATGATTACATAAGCAACTGATGGTCCATCAGAGGAACAAACTTGGATGTCAGTAGGAGCTGCTATCTTACCTGTATGTGGGTTCATATAACCTTTCCCTGAGTTACCATTTTATACCCTTCTTTTAGGTTGGTTATTGAGGATGCTTAACTGTTAGATATCGTAATATCTACCTTCACGGGTTACAAACCTGGTCATTGTGAATTGCCACTTCTCACAGTTTTGTCGTGCTGTATGTCTGGTCCTTTGTGGCTCTCAGTTTGCAAGGTTATTCAGGGACACTGCTAATGCCTCTTTAGGAGTTGATGGAAAGATGAGGTTATATGGAAATCGGTAACCTTGGCAATACTTTCTAATCTCTATCACCCTAGGAGCTGGAAATTCAAACCTAACAATTGGTTCTTGATGAAAAAATTAAGAGCATCACTTTTTCTGACGTGTGGAAATTAGCCACTGCATAACTGAATGTGAAACAGTCCTGATTTCTGATTATCTGGAGAGTAGCATTTTGTTTTGCCACACAGAGAGCTTGAGATGAAACTTGAGCTTCAGATCACATACAACCCTTTTGCTTTGCATGCTGGAGTGCATAACTTTTCAGATGTGGAGATCCCAGAACTGATGATCTTGACATCTGTTAAGCAAAGTGCAGTTTTCTAATCCTAGCAGAAATCCCAAGTCATGCCCACGACTGCTGTCCTTAAAACAGTTCTTTTCAAGCAAAGACTCCTGATCTTTTTGTAACAAATGACTGAGAAAATTCAGCATTCTGCACTCACATCCCCTCTTTACCTTTTTATCACCACCTTCTTTTTTATTGTCACTCTTCTCTCCTTCCCCTCCTATAGACTACAGGCCAGTAACTGCCTTTTTGCTTTTCCTTATCTGTTCTTTCACCCAAGGACGTTACCTTTGTGTTTCATGTTTCCCGGCGGCTTTGGCAAAGACAAGCTAATAAACTCCCAGTCTGGGAACACGATGCAAAGGTACTAGAGCTGTATTTACATAGAGACAGTACAGAGCTGGCGGAACGTATGTGCTTGGGTCCTGCACTGGGCTGCATTGTTTGGGAAGAGTCTCTAAAAGAGGAGGCAACTCACTTGGTGCCAGGAGAAGTTTGAAAGGTCTTCAGGTGCCTTTCTAGCAAGGATGCTTTGCAGTTGTTCTAGTATAGGTATGGGGTAAATGTGCCATCATTTTGAAAATGCTATAATTCATTCACCGAAATTTGTAGAAGGCTCAGCAAAAATCAACAATAGTTCTCCAGAAATCATGCAGACAGTCCCTCAGAACTCCACAGGATCCTGTGAACCCTCACTCACTCCATGATAGATCCAATAATTTTGGCTGATGGCATTGCAGTCTACCACTGAGAGAGTCTCATTATCACAAATCATAGGTATAGGTACTTCAGCGAGCTTGCAGCTGCAAAAACCAAACACAGGCCAGGACTGTTGTGAACTGAGCATCTTAAACTCCCAGAAATATTCTAGATCTTGCTGTCCTTTCAGTTTTCATCTTTATCTACTTTGCTTTTACATACAGTCTCTAAATGGTTACTCACACATGTAGGGCAGGGAGGAATCTAAACACCTGAATATTCCACTATTGCTATTCTCTCTCATTTCATATATTATTGTTCAGCTTTACAGCTGCCAACAGAATAGTGGAACAATGTTAACAGTGACTTTGGTTTGGAAAGCTGACTTTAATGTCTGCATATTGTTACTGTCTTGTGGTTTTGGGTTTGGGGGTTTTTTTGTGTGTGGTTTTTTTTAAGTGTTTGGTTTTTAGAGTTATTTTGGTCTTAGTAGTGTGTGGTTAATATTTAGTTTCTACGGACCTGCTAGTTTGGGGGGTTTTTTTGTGTGGGTTTTTTTTTTTTTAAGTGTTTGGTTTTTAGAGTTATTTTGGTCTTAGTAGTGTGTGGTTAATATTTAGTTTCTACAGACCTGCTACTCCTTTGGAAAGCACCACCTTTCCTTTGTTCCCCCCCGTCCCAACTGATGTTTGTGAACGAAGCTGACATTTGATCTTGTGTAGGTATAGTTTTGTCTGATACGACTGTGAACAATCTCTCCTTGCTTTTCAAAGAAAATTTCCTTTCAGGTTTTCTGTCGGTCCTGTTTGTGCCGCAGAAAGAGCAACAGTCAAGGAGTCAGCATATGCCCTCCATGAGCTCATCTGCTCGCATCTGTGGCTCTTTCAGCAGCAGCGCAATATGCTTAACGTCCTAATCCCCGTTTGCTTTCATACGTGTAAAGGTTAGGGAGGGACATCAGAATTATGATTTATTTCCCACTTAGCAAAGCTGCACAGGAGACTTTGTTCTTAGTTCTGTGGAGTTTTAATACATGGGGTTTGCTTTGCAGTTACAGGTGCCAAAATGTAGCCTAGTTTTATTCATTTTTTTAGCTGTTTTGCTTTGAATAGTTTTCTAATAGCTTTAGGATCCATTGTATGTTTTGAAGCACATACCATAAATGAATACATAATAAGAGTATCTGTTTCAGAAAAATAGCTGAAGAGGGTTCAAAATAATGAGTGTACATTTCAGGGGACTAATTACTAGCTGCATTAGAGAGAGGCGTGTCACTCCACCTGGCATGGATTAGAACTCCTTTTCATTAATATCAATTCAGTAAAGAGATATAAAAACCTTATTTTAATTAGAGGCAAAAACAGTGGCAGATCGTGCACATAAATTGCTGGAAATATGAACGACTCTAGTCACCAAGTCACCTCATTTTTAAAATGAATGTATTTGGCACAATGCAATAATTCTCAAATTACAAGTATTCACAGTAGACCGTGTCTGTGGGTGACTTGAGACATATGGCCTTAAACATTTGGGGGCAAATTTATAATCTAATTTGAAAAACACAGTTCCAGGGAAATACAGTCATTAAGTATTCCTGCCCACACAGAGCCAGGAGTGTGAACCTTCATTTGAAATAGGATTTTCAAATAAATAATACCATGCATTGCTGTCATTTGCACTAATATAATTTTTGGATGTTTCATGACCTGTTTAGCCCCTGTTGCGATATACCTAGGAATTCCAATGAAGTGTCTTCATGGAGTTAGAAGGGGATATGTTTATTTTAGTCCAAAGAGGTTTAGATTTCAGGGATTAATAAAAAATTATTCTGAATAGTCTTTTATCTGAAGAAATGAATTAACACTGGAAGAATTCTGCTGAGTACAATTAAGATAAAAGCCCATTTTTGTTTTATTGTATTCTGGGATATCTGTGCTGTGTGATGTAATGATATAACTCAGCTTCATCACATTGTGCCAATGAGGAGATAAATCTTTGCAAAAATCAAAGTAAAACTATGTTGTTCATTACGACTGTGACTCAGAACTATATATGATAGTGTTAAAAGAAAAGTTTTTCTCAGGCCATTGGTAGACCTTGTTGCAGTCCTACCAAACAAAGGATGAACCATTTAATTTTTATTTGAACTTTTTGCAATATCTTGTTGTCATGAAGATTTGAAAGATGAATTCAGTGAACTCCAGCAAATTCCAATACTGCCATCTATGCAAAACCTCCTGAAGAAGGAACGAGACTGAAATGTACTCCAGACCTGAAAAAATCAGCTTTCTACAGTAGATGTAACCTGTAATATCAAATTAGAAATTATTTTTGAGGAATTTGCAATTAATACATGAATTGTAAGGTAGAGAGGGAAATACGGAAGAAATGCCCCTTGGTGAGTTACCAGTGTTATTAAACGTATCACAAGTGCATCCAAAACTCCTTGACGGAACAAAAGTAATGTCTAAAACCCCCAAAATCACCTTGTAAGCTATAGTAGCCTGTGAGATTCTTCATTTCCAATGAATTAACTTGGAGAGGCAATCAGAGTTAATTCAAAATACCCCATATCCTTAAGACGATAGACAGCTAAACATGGAAGTTTTCCACACCATAGCAATTACAGTGGAAGAGCAAGCAAGCAAAGCCCAGAGTACATTCTGGGCAGCTTAAGTTAAATGGAGGATTAGCACAGTCTGTTCAGTCTAACAGAGGCTTATTTAATAGTTTGACCTGGCAAGTCTTTTGTCACCATGGAGCTTCTCCAGGCTTCCTGGGACAGGCGGGTGACAGTCACCTCTGGAGGAGAAGAGAGTCGGTGTTGAAAATTTTATGGCATGTTTCCCATGTCAGAATTGCTCTTCTCTACGGTAAAACAAGCTCCTGTACAATTCTGGGTTTTGTCGTGTATTTAAGGAGGGAGAACAGCCTTTTGAAATGTTTAGTTTATTGATTGTCAAAAAAAAAAGACATGACATTTAAATTTTAAAGATACTCTGCACACTCACTGTATCCAGTGCTCCATGAGCAAGCAAATCCTCCCCAAACCACTTTCCTTTACGAATCAGAGTGCCCAGGAGATGAATAGGCTTCGTTTATATTAGTTTTCAGTTTAATCTCTCTTCCTGCCAGATCTTTTATCTTCCACCAGGAGAGGAAAAAGAATAAATAAAGTATTCTATAGATGCAGCATATAAACAGAGCAAAGCCCCAAGGTGCTGAAAAGATTAATAGGCCCTGCTGTTGAATCAAACTGCTCACTACATTGAGCTGCTTGGGTTAAGCACTCTCAGGTGGTGTTTACGCTAGCAGTAAACAAATGAAATGCTCTAGGAAATGGACCACTACCCAAGTAGCTCATACAAGGGTATTTCACTCTCTTGTTGGTGTCTGCTCTTCCATTTTCCTCAGGAAGCTGCTTCAGGCAATGTACTAAGTCAGCCATACCTTAACTTTGGCTTACCTTGATTTGTTATTGTGCACTCTTGTCTGTAATGAGGTGAACGGTTGTTTGTGAAGTCTCAAGAGAAGCTTGATAAAATTCAGAAGGAACTAGGGTGCAAAAAGCTCCTAAGCAATGCTTTTCTAGATAGCATAGGTGTGCCTCCTCTAAGGTCTTTCTAAAAGAAGTTCAGCGTTCAGCTAAGATGAATTGCCATCAAGATCTTGCAGCCGAAGTGACTGTTGGTAAATCATCAACAGCTGACGAGGACGGAACTTGACTGCTGTGCAAATGTCCTTCTCCAGCATTCCCAGTTTTCTGCTGTGTCAGTTTTCCTGTTAAAAAAGACTTTGTTCTCAGAAAGCCATTACTGGAATAAATATATTTTGAGTAATTCGAAGATGCAGTGTTTATAGCCCAACTGGCATCGCACCCTAGAGGACTTAAACTTGCTAAGGAATCTGCCAGAAAAGCACTAAATTAGTGGTTTACCTCTTGGTGTGAAGTTTAGCAGCCTTCCACATTTGGGACATCTCATCTTCATTTTCAGGCAGACGTCTAGGTGACCTGCCAGGAGCTGCAATGCACTTCTGATGAGCAACATGCACAGATACGTTGCCAAAATCTACAGCTAGCTCCTCAGTAATTTCCAGAAGTGTTAGTAATTTTGAGCAGGGAGCATGAAAACAGCTGGTATTATTTAAAAACTGAACAAATCTTTAAATTGGCTGATTCCATTGCTGTACTGTTGCAACACAGACCAAATGTCACCTCTCCCTGACTAATTTCAGTCATGACTTTGGGGAGAATACGTGACACCAGGCTATGAAGAAAAGAAGTCAGGATATTTAATTTTCAACATGTTTCATTTCTGACCTCTTTGAAAACTTGAAAATGTAATTCGGGCATCAGAGGAGCTCGGTATGTCAAGTATGTGAACTGACAACGAGGGTTTTACAGTGCTGCCAGGGCTGTTTATACCAGGGAATCTTCCTAGGAAATGATTAGACTGAACGCCATATACTATCTCTAGAAAAAAAAAATTGCAGACATGTAGGATCCGCAGCAGAAGCTTTCTCAGGTCTTACAGCAAAGGGCTGATTTGGCAGAGAGAGTCACGCTTCTACACCTGCTTGCAAGCTGGGTAGGAAGATATTCCAAACTGGCTGTGAATTTCATTACAGTCCTTCCACCAGAGCCACTCATGGGTGTGGTGTTGTAATGGCCTGCCAAACAGATGGGTTGTGAAATACACAGCCCATCTGTCTTTATCATGCTTGTTTCCTCTTTTATTAAAATGTTAATGAATATAGTTTTTATTTATTATGCCATGACATGTGCAGCATCACTTTCCAGTAGACAAATGTGCAATCTGCATAACCGTGTGGGCTGACAGGAAGGTTTCTTCTGCTGAAAAGAAACTTCTTCCCAAAGTTCCTCTGAGGAAAACAAGCACAAAGAGCTCTGAGCAGTCAGAGGCGTTTTCTCACTTCTGCAGGGCTTTTAACAAGCGCTTCCATCTTTTTTCACATGTAAATTATTCCAACAGATTCTCCCTGGAAGGTTCACCTATCAAATCTTGACCCAAAGATGACCGGTGTCACTGTGAGCGGACTAACTCCAGCCCGAACCTACCAGTTTAGGGTGTGTGCAGTGAACCAGGTGGGAAAGGGCCAGTACAGCTCTGAGACCAGCAGGTACAGTAAAAATAAATAGCTGTGTACTAAAGCTACAATAATCTAGAATTACTGGGAGGAAAAAAACTGCTGATTTTTTGTGAATGAATAAAATAAAGTTATCTTTTGCACAATAATTGGGGAACGGAGCAGTTAGCATTACCCAGGCCTCTGGAGAGTGCTCTGCAGCTGTCAGTAATTGGTGATAATGGCAATCAGGCGATGCAGGATGTCAGCACACGGTGGGAGAGGTGCCCTCATATTTCCAGAGTATCAGTTGAGCAGAATCTTGGAAATATTTTTTGCTCTTGTACTAAGCCACAGCAGTTAGCCCAGGAAGGAGTACAGCATTCACCCAGTCATTGCAATGTCACTTCTGGAATTCACCCAGATGCGACATAGAAGGATGGCTTCATCAAATTTACTTTCAAATGCCTCCGCCTTCTTCTGTGAACCAAAGCTTGCTGTGAGCCTGAATTGCAGAACAGCTGAACTCTAAATGGCTTTTTCAAAATGTAGGAGTTTGATATGAAAAATATTGAAAGAGCTGAAAGAAACAATTTGGAAGGAGCCACAGACACTGGACCTGAGCTCTAACTCATTCAGGCTTGTAATCTTTTTAAAGAGTTGTAGCAGCCTGGGTGATTCAGAGAGAATAAGGTTACCTCAGCTGTCTGTCTTGTTGCTTGCTTAACTGATTTCCTATTATGTTGATTTGTTGTAACTATTTCATGCATGTCTTCAGCAGTTTGATGAGTGTTATATTTCTTTCATCAGACTTTGATAAAAGAAGCTGGTTCACATGGAGTGGATACATGAAATAGAAATGTTATCTATCATTTATTTCAACACCCACCTCCATCACATTCTTTTGTACTTAGGTTGATGCTACCTGAGGAGCCCCCCAGTGCCCCACCGAAAAACATAGTGGCCAGCGGGCGCACCAATCAGTCTATCATGGTCCAGTGGCAGCCTCCTCCCGAGAGTGAACATAATGGAGTTCTTCATGGGTACATCCTAAGGTAAGTAATTTCCCAACCTGAAAAGTGTGGAGATAGATCCATGTGTGCATGAGGGAATTCAGAATGGTGTGACTTAAGAGTGTATTAAAAACTATTTCTAGTTCCGCTAAATATATTAGTTATTATTTACAAATGCTGTGCCTGCCCTGGTTTATTACAGATAAGAAAACACCTCCTCTGTTCAAGTGGCCGCAAGGGTGCAGGCACTTAAGTCCTAGCCTGTCTATACTAGAGAGTCAGCGAGCTGGGGTCTCTCTTAGCTACCCCGAACAGACTGCCTAAGTGGACCAGCTCCCTGTGGAGATTCTCAACACCCAGATAACTTTTTTCCATTTTCAAAGCGAAGTGAAGCACCAGGTACTAAAAGTGTTCACATGGGAAGCTGGTACAGTGCAGCCTATGCATGGCAGATGTGTATTTGCTTATTACAATCTCAGCTTCCTGCTAAAAAGGTTAATTAAATTTATCAGAGACACAACAGGGCTCCTGCAGTATGGAGGAGAAACAATAGAATCAATAAACTTCAGGTTTGTGCCAAACAAAATGGAGAGAGGGAATGACAGGTCAGATGCTTAATGGCAGGCCTTGATTTGGTTTTGAAAATCAGTCAGTTGAGTAAGATTCTTTCAGCCCCATCTATATTTATGAACGAGAAAAAGATTCAGGCAGGTAACTGGGAATCCTGAATACATCCAGTCTTTCTGCTTACACAGGATTTATTGTGTTGGAAAGGGCGAGAGACTTTGCAGAGCATTTCCCTTTTGTAATTTTTTGGGACTCAGTTATTCACTCCTACCCAATTCACCTACAGCTTAGTTGTTCATTTGGCATCCTACACATCCTGCAGTGCTAGCAGCCAGCTAGGGCTGCACCTTTAGTAAGGGAGGCATTGTCTAAATTAGAGTTTTTGTGGGAAACTCCCAAGCATTGCACCACCACTGACATATTTCCAGGTGATGGTTACAGTCTATTGTAGGCAGGCTGCTGACATTTTTAATACAGTGTCCTTCAGACCTGCTAAAAGATAGCTAAATGCTACAGCTTAAATGCCAACATCCTGTTCATGCTGTGCTCCTACTTTTGCTGGCATGGATGGAAATGCTTTTGTGATGTTAAGAGTGTTGGTGAGCTCCCAGAATAGTGCTGGAAAGTTCCTTCTCTCTGCAGGCAGAGTTGAAGTCTGTTAATCTCCCTGTCACCTGCACAGAGCCTGTTACGGTGGTGAGCCACTTGTGCAAGTGCCTGCAGTTTTAACAGCTGGACTCAGTTTGAAAGCTGTGCCAGTCATCAGTGACAGGTGGGAAAAGGTGCTTTAACTCCTGTCTATAGCTAGAATCTTGTCATGAGACTTGGGTACCTTTTTGCCCAGGGTACAAGTGTTGCTTCTACAGTTCTTTCCTTCAAATTGGTCTACTCGATGATAGGATTAATTCCTTAGCTATTCCCAACGAGTCCTACCCAGCCTCAGCATTAAGTCCTTTGAGAAAGCAATCTCATAGCCCCCTACTTCTGGCAATCTGTTCTGTTTTCCCCATGCAGTGTTTTCAGTAATGTTTAACTTAAGTATTTTCTACAGCATCTATCAGCATAATTGATCCCTGTCCTCGCTATATCATCTCTTTCCATTTTAATAGAGAGTTATCATATTCATTACACTCAATCTGTGACATTTTTTGATGTCTGCATTCTTTGTCTTGCCTACAGAGCAGAGAAACCGTTTATTTGACAGGAATTTAAGATTATCATATAAAAGCACAACTGTCCCGGGTAATAAACCAGGCTGTTCTTCCAAGTCAAATTGTGTGGTCAAAGCAATGTGCACTGAAGAAAAGTCTTCGTGCGCTGATTTCTCTTGAATTAGGGTATAACAAAATGAAAACCACCATGCATCCCAGAGACCCACCGCTCAAGACATGCAAGATACTAAATTGATGGAACACCTGATCTTTAAAAGTGAAGGTGCACTGCACAAGTCATATGGAGTATACATCAAAGTCCACAGTGAGAAAAATCATGAAGACATGACATTTCTGAACTGGCCTCCTTCCTCTGCCCTTTTTCTCACTGGCAGTATTGCATTTAGAGGACTGCCATGCTAACAGCATAATAGATTAAATCACAGGAGCACTCTACACCTTGTCTGCTAGGTGTGAAACAAAACATTGCTGCACAAAGAATTGACTTTGCCAGGAAGCATACACCCTTCACAGGAGACAAAAGAAAGAAAAAGGTAGATATTGCACAAAATAGAAAAAGATCAAGACATTCAATAAACTCAGCTGAGGGCTGATATTTCTTTATTTCCATTTGTATTTCATAAATGGAATCACACCAGTGTAGCGTTACAAATATTAAGTATGCCAAAATATGGTCAGGCAAGCAGCTGTTCAGCAGAAAATAGAGGGGTTGTCAGTGATTAAGAACTGATCTCTTTATAAGAAGACTTTAGAACAAAATCTGTGGCTGAAATACACGAAGTTGTCTAGTCATAGAAATTGCACCAGTTTAACCTAGATGAATTAAAAATCAGACTGTAAGATGTCAATGAAATTTGTCTGTGTCAATAAGCTTTTGGTGATTACTGGGAAGCAAAAGATGAGTAAGAGTGCATAAAAGCTGTGTGGTGAATAAAAATACAAATGTTTCCATATATGTCTTTTTCATGGAATAGTAATGCCTTGTGCCCCTTACTTGGCCTGTTTTTCTGATTTTTTTTTTTGTGAATTAGCATATTGTAAGCTTCCACTGTACATTTTCCTAAAGGAAGGAAAACAAACAGTATTATTCACATTCACAGATTTGCAAGGTTTGTTTGTTTTCTATAATTTCGTTCTTCTCCATAGTTTCTTGGCCTAAAGATGCATATCAGAGGGGCTCTGTTTTCTGCAAAACAGTTTTTACATGGGAAAATATATTCAGTGTTTCAGCTTTCCATGTCTCAGCAGAAAGTTTGTCATGATGTTTACCACTCATCTGTATTTGGTACAGACCTTGTCCTAGAATTCCAACGCTTAACCAATCCTTCAGTCTCAACTATACTCCATCCTTACTTTAATCGTTCTGTGAAGTAAATCCTGGTGGAAGCCAGAGATGGCAATGCCTGAGACTCTAGAAGGTCAGAGCCCTCTGAGCTCTTCCTTTTCAGGTTTTACAGGAGAAGGAAAAAAACATTTCTCAAGCTGATTTACAGCAGCACCCTGATAAAAATCACATCGGGGCTATTTTTTCTACTAAATCACAGCTTTTACTAGACAAGTCACATTTAAAAAGCTGTAATTTTTCTGCAACTGTAAAACAGGATAAAATACCCGTTTTGTTTAGCCCTGAGCATGTAATCTCAGTGAGATCAGATTATAAATACTAGAGCAGTCAAACATGATATGGTCTTATCAGGAGTTAGTCTGTTCTTTCTGATTATTTTTCATTATGCTTTGTATAATTCTGCTGTAAAAGTTTGCATATTGCCTCTTCACAAAGAAAGCTATTTTGCTAGTCAGGATATTTGCTATAATTGATACCATCTAATTAACTAGCAAATTTTTCTTCCCGTATGGTAGGTATCGCCTGGCCGGCCTCCCTGGAGAATACCAGTATAAGAACATCACCAGTGCAGAAATTAACTACTGCTTAGTGACAGACCTGATCATTTGGACCCAGTATGAAATCCAGGTGGCATCTTACAATGGAGCTGGGCTGGGAGCGTTCAGCAGACCTGTGACGGAGTACACTTTACAGGGAGGTAAGCAAATCAGACCAATAGATCCTTTATAGTTACAGTTTCCGAAGGAGGAGATGCGCTCTCTGATAGTCCCACCTGACAGCTTGTAAAATGAATGGTCATTTCAGTCAAATTTGATAGACAGCTTGGGGTAGGAAACACCCACAAATTTCACATGCCTAAGTAGAGACAAGATGAGACTCTGCTACTGTCTCTGTTGCAGAAAAAGCTGTGAGTGAATTCAAAAATTATCTATTTTTGTTGACCCTCGTGATGACTTGTTACCACACTTGCAGGTCAGAGTTGAGCGCAGCATAAGTAATAAATAGAAATGCTGAAGAGAGCTGGGGTCCCGTGGAATCGTGGAATGGAGTTACAGGATGTGTGACAGGCAGGGGCTGAGGTTACTCTGCCAGGAGAGTTGGAGAGAATATGGCAGGGAACTGGGTTTATCGTGGTCAAGATATGCAATATAGGAGACAAAAGCTGAGTAAACCAGCTGCATTCGTTCTGATAATCACAGAATACCTTGTTTTAGAAATATGGAATAAACTGTAGGACTGTAGGGAGAGAAATACAGCCTGTGGAGAAAGTGTGTTTTGTAGCATTTCAGGAATGGTGCGGACATTTGCAAAGAGGAAGATAAAATGATCTTTAAAGCCCCGATTTTAATGCTACAGCTCCTCCACACCTTTCTGCTAAGTGCTTTAAGAAGAGTATAAATTACATCAACAAAAGGATATGTAATTACTTTTTACAACCAGTGTAAGGCATGTTTACACCTCTAGATTGGTATAAAAATCTGTAGGATAATTAAGTACCAAGCCCTTAAAGCTTTCATATATTCCCATAATTGCAGGGTTGTACTGGATTCTGAGCACTGGACAGTACATGGTATCTACTTTATTGGTCATAAAACAATTAAACTATTTTTAAAACTTGCAGATTTACACTACATCAGTTAATTTACAATCGGTGAAGAATACGCAGTTGTTTGTTAATTGTTACTAGGAGTACGTTATAACGCGATTAGATACAGTTTGAGGTGTAGGGAGATCTTTAAGAAAAGATTATTCATATGCAACGCTAATTAACCACAACAACCAAAGGAGGAAGCTATCTATATTTTGTCTTGGGGCATGTGAAGTCTCACAGTTTAGAGGAGTCTAGACACACTCAACCTCTTTCTAGAAGTATTTATAGCAGACCTTGAAATGTTTTCCTTAAGGTCTTCTCCTTGCAGCCAGGATTAATGTTTTGTATCCCACTAAAGACCAGATCTCTGCTGAGAATTGGTTTGCACACAGAATTTTAATCTCTTTTGTGAATATGCTTGTAATTCATTACTTTGTTTATTTGCACATTTTAAGCTATCATAGCACCTTAACCTTCCATCTATTAAGGCTCAGGTTTGGACTTCACACTCTTTTACTTAAACCCTGCAACTGACTCTAATTTCCCTTGATATTATGTTCTGCTATTATCATCCTTTATTGATTGGCTGTCTATTGTCATTTATAAGGATATAAATCCTCTGTTATAAATTAAGTGTAGTCAGTCCTGCATTCATATTAATCAGCAAGAGTGTTTAGACTGCAGGACAACCTGCAATGGCCTGTTTGTCTATGTAGTTCCTAAATGCTCGATGGTGGGCAGACATAGAAGAAAAAATGGATATGTCTTATTTATTTTATATCAGTATTTAATAACAGCAGTAAATAGCTCCTTCATGGATGCTGCCATCTCCTAATGAATGCCTCGCTCGGTTTCTGTGCAAATCACCAAAGGCATACAGTCTGTTCTAAAAAGTTTGAAGCCTTTTTACGTTTAGAGCTGAAAAGGGAGGCTGGTTGGTATCAGTATCATTTGAAACTGGATTAATATCAAGTCTCCATATGTAATGCGCTACTGTCCGAAACTCTGCTCCTTTATCTTTCCTGTAGCTGGGAAATGACAGGAAAAGCCAGTGGCCGTTTCTTGCTCCGGAATGTCCTTCCTAAACCAAACCAGCAGGAGTAAGAAAAAGCCATGTGTAAAACTGCCTTGTAAATCATATTCTGATTTTAATATGAGCAGAGATAAATGTCAAAGACACACACTCCCATCCATCCCCCTCTCCTACTACCACCACCGCCGCCTCTATGCTGACATGCATTAAATGATGTGTGAGCTACGCTGGCAAGAACCTGTCTGTCTGCAGATGAAAAATACCTGAAACACCTCATATTAATCGTGTGCTATGCAGTCAAAGCCTGGCAGGAAATGAACACTGGGAGCAGATCAACCCACTGGCAGGAGCAGATCAGCACATTGGCATCTTTGTCATAGGGAATATTGACCAGCCATATAAGCTGTGGATTTATACCTGAACTTAGTCTATTAATCCCTTATTAGTCCTCTGGCATTGCTTTAGCCACTGATAACTAATCAGCTAGTCACGGGTCTTCGAAAATCACCAACTTCTAGAATGTAGCCAAACTCACAAGATGCTGAAAGATCTAAACTTGTAGAGAAACTGGCACATAATGTCAGTTAGATAAAATGTCAGGAAGACTTACTGGCAAAGCACTGAACATCCTAGCACTAGGGTCAGACAGTTTGACTGTCTCTAAATCTTGAAAGTCTTTTCAGAGTGATATTCAGCCTAATCCTTTGATGCTCTGTATATATATGTCTGTCTTCATCAGAGTTTCTCCAGCTGTTCCTTACTTTGATGTTACTTTTCACAGGGATCTGTGCCAGCCTTCTGCATAGGGCAATTTTTACTTATTTAAACAGTGTCCTGCAGGACTTTTCATTGCCATATTAAAAACTGAAGTTTCCCGATACCTTTTCATAGAAGAATAGCTTTGTGAGGTGTATAAACATCTTTCTGGGTGGTGATGATGTTGTCTCTCCTCTGTACTATTGGACATGTTTACCTTTTCCTGCAGGTTGATTTGAGAAAGCAGAAGCTTCCATCCTTTACTTTGGGTCTGCCCTTTTTATCTCACTAGCATGAATACTTCTGAACTTCTCTCTCTTTGAAAAACTCCCACCGCTCCTTAGATTTAGTGCAAGGCAAGGTTTACATGTAGAGACGTAGCTTTTATTAGGCTCTTTGCATTATCATTAACCCACTTTTGTTTCTACTTGAAGTGCTGTGGCTTTCTTTTGATGCATATCCCAAAAGACAGTCTTATGTCCTAAAGTTCATAGGTCTCAACATACAGTTCGATATTGTTTTATTTTCCTTTCTGTGCTGTGCATGGACACCTTGAAAGGCCAGGAAAATCTGAGCAAAAGGCCCTTGGATAAAAGAGTGGGAGAGTCACCGGACTAGTGAGTCCTGGTAGTGGAGAGGAGGATAAAAGCAAGATGAGTCTGTTCAGTCAGGTCCAAAGTAGTTTCTTCCTCAGGCAGTAGGAAGTGAATCAGAGAGATTTATAAGACTGAGACAGAAGAGCTAGAGAAAACCTGGTTAACTGAAAGCTTCCTAATTTATGTAGGAAATAATCTGGAAAAAGGAATCTGAATAAGGAATGTCCTCTGCAACCATTCAATTTTATCTCAGTGAAAAGACATTTCCATTAGTTTTCCCTTAGGCTTTCTTGGCAAAAACATCTTAAAGATGCTCATTCACTGCCTTTGGGGAACCTACCAACAGCCTTGGAGCATGCATGGCCATTTTGGGCCCAGCTGCTCCTGTGCAGAAGCACGTTGGAGTTGTAGTGGCTGGATTTTGCGTGTCTTGGTTTTATCGCTCTTAGGTGTCATTTGCCATCTACTGCCTTTTTTTTTTTTTTTTTTTGGTAATTAAATGGTTTCACAAAGGTTGTGAAATTAGCAGTTGTCTTGGTGAGGCCCCTGGCCACCAGCTGTGAATAAAGAAGTAAAGTCTTGTCCTTGTGGGAGGCATGCGAGAAAGGAAGAAGGCATCTCCCAGCTGCAAGAAGCAAAACTCCTCAGTGCCAAATCTCATACTACTGAATTTCAGATACCAGCATGTGTAGAATTGTAGAGATCATTTTTTCTATGCACCTGCTGCAGTTCATAGCACAGCAAAGGATGTCAGCCAGGAGCATAGGGGAATAGGCTTCACAGGAGGAATTGTGCGCTCCTGCGGCAGGCTCTCCCCACCGCTCCCACTGGGGACGTGCAGCTTAGCACGTCAAGCGGGTGTGTTAAAGGAACGACCAAATCCTCACAGAGAGAAAACCCTGCAGTTCCCCGAGCCTGCCTTATTGAGACATGGAAGCTGTTACCTCAAAGGTCAGGAGCTCCAGAGGAGTAGGAGACTTTTCTACAAGCCTCTGTTGAAGATCTATATTTAAGACCAGTAGCCTGGCTGTCAGAATCTCTGTGGGGTTTACATGCTATTTGCACATAGCTAGAGACAGAATAATTACATGTACACATGCTTAACCTTAATGCCTTCTCTTCTCTCAATTATCTCGTCAGCGAAACCCTTTTAATGGCTTTTATCTAGAGTGCTTCCATGACCTTTTCTACTTAGAATGCTGTGCATTAACTCGCAGTCCCGGGGGCTGAGCTCTTAACAGATTTCCAACCTCGTGAACTTTATCAGGAAGAAAGTAACAGTTGGTTTTGTCTGACCAATTTGATCTGCAATTCCGAGATGACTCCCAGATGGGTCTCCACTGTGAGATGGTTTAGGAATATTTGCAAACATGATGAAGAACAGGTTTAAAAACTGAGCATGTAAATACTTGGGGATTACTCTTGAAACACCTATTTGACATTGGTAGCTTCTGTACCGCTTGACAACAAGAAACTTGTAGGAAGAGGATAGATATCTACCACTAAATTAGAAAATCCTTTATGTGGACAGTCACAGTTTCAGTAAGTTACTGAACATGATCTTGGAAAAGTATTTGAGTTTTGAAGTGACCAGAAGGTCAATTCTGATTTAGCTTCTGTCAAACTTCTTTTCTTTTTTAAATGCAAAACTGTTCAGATACCCAAGGAAGTCTTTAATATCAGGACATAAAAGGAGAACTTTATACTGGCACTTTGAAGTAAATTTGAGATTATAATGCCAATATTTTACTGATTAAAAATATAAAAATGTATTATATTATGTCTTCTGCAGTATAATTAAGCTTATGCATATCAGATGGACCACACTC